GATTTATCGTTAAATAACTCTCTTACTTTATATAATATTGCAATAGATTTAGCTATTTTTATTCTTAAATTATCTATAAGGGCTATATGAAACATTCAGCTGAATATCTGTAAGATCAGCTGAAGTTTAGCCTTTTCTGCGCAAGCTGACGAGTAGCTGAGGCGGCCATCTTGAATCAGTGACAGACAAACATTCAGGGATTAAAATCAGTCCACTGGTTTATGAGATATTTTGCTAACAGACACTTTTAAACCCATTATTATTAGTTATAGGTGGGTGATGATGAAAGAGGGGGCGGAGTCAGATGTTTATTTAAAAGAATTTAATTTTATAATAAAAAGTTCTGACCTGGTTTAAACTCTTTTAAACAACTTTAGTTTAATTTGACGTCTAAAGGTTTAATTTTGATCCAGGTTTCAGATGAAATCATGTGAAAACTTTAGTCTGATGAAGAATTCAGGTCTGGGAGCAGGACTGAGGGAGGTTCTGGTCTCGTGGGACCCAAAAACCCAGAGARCAGGTTTTTATTCAGATTTTCTCAGAAAGGTTTTGTGTTCTCAGGAGGAGCGCCGAGAAAGTTCTGAAGAAGTTCGGTTCAGGGTCCGATCACAGGCTGGGGCTGTAAAAGAACGATGAAGATGAAGACCTGAACCAGGTTCAAAGGACCTGAACCTTCAGGTTCYTCACAGAACCACTGATCTGAGTGACCCTGATGGTGGATCCTGCTGATCCCAGGAGATCCTGTGTCCTCTCTGAGAAATGGAAGTAGGCTGCTCTTTGTGCAGCTTTGAATGACTGCAGCTCCTCTTCTCCTCAGGAACTCTTTGTTTCCTTTAGATTTAATATAAGTTTTATTATTTACTGCAGAATAAACCTCTAACAAACAGATCCAGACTCTTTCAGGGAGATGAAAACAAGTTTGTTCYTTTTAATATGATTACATTTATTTCAAACCTTTATTTTATTAAATCATTTTTGTTTACAGCTTGGAGTAGAACATTTGAATAAAAACATTTTATTCAAATGTTTAAACTAAGAAATGATAATTTCCTGGTTCATGTCTTCAACACGACGGTTTAAAGATGTTCCAGATGTTTCTGTGAAGCATCTCCAACATCAGTCTGTGATCGCCTGGACCTGAGGGGATCAGGTCTGGATTTCTGTGAAGCATCTCCAACATCAGTCTGTGATCGCCTGGACCTGAGGGGA